GAGTTCAGGCCCCACAACTGACAAAAAAAAAAAAAAATCCACTTGATATGATAGCTACTAGTAACTGGCCTTTATGTGCAGAAACTCTGGGCAGAGTAGAAGTCCAGGGTTCACTTACTCATCACTCAGAAAAAAAAAAAAAAAGTAAATGGTCATTATCTTGTCCATGTAATTGTAACCCCTCTGTACAGTATTTTCACATTATAAATAAATAAATAAATGGTAGACGGATGCTGGTTGCACACGCCTGTAATCCTAGCTACTCAGGAGGCTGAGATCTGAGGATCGCGGTTCATAGTCAGCCAGGGTAAGGCTGTGGGACTCTTTATCTCCAATAAACCACTAGAAAACTAGAAGTGGCGCTGTGGCTCAAGTAGTAAGTAGAGCGCTCACCTTGAGCTGAACAGTTGAAGGATAGCGTCCAAGCTCAGAGTTCAAGCCCCATGACCAATAAAAAAAAAAAAGGAAATGGTCTAATTATATTCCCCTTCTTGATAGAATGCCCATCTTTTCCCACTCCTTTTTATAGTTTTACAGTTAAAGTTAGAAAAATTAGGTGGAAAAAATTGCTTACATTGTGGTATCCCAACACCCCAAAATAATTAGGACCTTTTTTCTTTTTCTTTCTTTTTTTTTTTTGTCAGTTGTGGGGCCTGAACTCTGGGCCTTCAGCTCAAGGCTAGCGCTCTACCACTTCAGCCACAGCTACAAGCACCACTTCTGGATTTTTCTACTTGCGTGGTGCTGAGGAATTGAACCCAGGGCCTCATGCATGCAAGGCAAGCACTCTACTGCTGAGCCACCCTTCCAGTTCCACCTTTTTTCTTTTTAAGAATATGAAGTATTTTGCCGGGTGTTAGGGGCTAACACCTATAATTCTAGCTACTTAGGAGGCTTAGATCTAGGAATCTCAGTTCAAAGCTGGCCTAAGGAAGAACTGAGATTCTTACCTTGAATTAACCACCAAAAAGCCAGAAGTGGAGCTGTCCAGCCTTGACCAAAAAAGCTGCAGGACAGTGCTCAGGCCCTGACCAGCCCTAGAACCAGTGCACACGCACCAGGCACTTGAGGCTCATGCCTGTATCCCTAGCTACTTAGGAGGCTGGGATTTGAGGATCACAGTGAAAGGCCAGTCCAGGCAGGAAAGTTTGTGAACAGTGCCCAGTAAGCTTTCAAAAAGTAAGAAGTAGAGTTGTAGCTCAAGTGGTAGAGCACTAGTCGAGCAAAAGAGCTCAGGCACAGCACCTAGGCCCTGAGTTCAAGTCCTTGACTGACACAAGCACATGCATGTGTGGGGTGGGGGGCACACACACACACACAAAAAATAATAATATGAAATGTTTTATCCTTAGGAACTTGATATAAAGTACTCTTGTGTATCCGTGTACTCTGTCTGGGTTTTTGTTTTGTTTTGTTTTAGAATATGAGAGGCCAAATCTAAGACCTTTAGCATACTACCCAAGTACTCTACTATTTAGCTACATCCTCAGATCAACAAAGGTCTTTTCTAAAAGAACTAAGAGTGCCAGGTGCTGGTGGCTCACGCCTGTAATCCTAGGTACTCAGGAGGCTGAGATCTGAGGATCGAGGTTCAAAGCCAGCCCAGGCAGGAAAGTCCATGAGACTCTTATCTCCAATAAACCACTCGAAAACTGGAAATGGCACTGTGGCTCAAGAGAGAGAGCACTCGCCTTGAACTAAAGAGCTGAGGGACAGTGCC